GCTAATAATCTTGTCGTCGAATGATCCTCGATCTTCCTAAAACTCTAATACCAGCATTCTCAACCCGATGCTTGGAAGATTCCTCGAAGAGTTCGAGCACCTCCCTCCTCCAAGGCAAAGATTTGGTCGAAAAAGCAGCGGCCATTCTTCGGAAAGCCGCTCATTTTTATTAAATTGTTACAAACAGCGTTGTTCAGTCGAGGAGGAGCAGGAAAAGGCGGAAACAAGGAAGCTACATCGGAGGTGTAGCAATACGGCCGAGAAAGGAAGACACCCGCTGCGCGTCGACAATTCCTCCCAGCCTTTTGAACGAGCTAAGTTTTACCGGTGGCCGTCCATTGTCGCCATTCTCCCCGTCTCTCGCGACACCTGCTCCTTCGCCAAAAAGGAAGACAATAGCCTCGAAAGCCAAGAGGCTCGAGGAAGCGATCCATCGATTTTCGAGAGACGCAGGATCAGCCGCAAGGAAGAGATCTCTTCCTTGGGTGGTTCCTTCCGATTAGCCACCCCCCCCTCCCTTTCTCGATTCTATCTCCTTTGACAGAGGTAGAATCCATAATAAAGTTTCTTCAAAACTTCGTTAAACATCGCCTCCTCGCTGAAAGGGATCCTGCCCGATACAAGGACTGGTGGCCGTCTTTTGTCCCTCAGCAGGATCTCGTTTACGATTCGACTCATCGCCGCAAAACTGAAGGGGAGACAATGGAATAGGATAACACGGTTGTTTCCACCTTAGAGGCACTTTTTCTGGACAGGTGATGGGATACGGTTTCCAGGGATCGATGGATCACCAATGGACGATGACCACAATGCCTGTTTGGGGAGACGATACTTTTCGACTGGTGGCACATTGTTGTCCGAAGAATAAGGATTTTGTATTCTTTGGCCGCGTTTTCGTCTCTGTTTTTAATAAATCGTTTGGAATCGCTGCCACGGAAGAGAAAGTTTCCTCGAATGAGTTATGGTCTCGTGGAGAGAATTTTTGATCAGTTTTTATCAGGAAATCGAAAGGTTCTCTCGATTATAAATCGGAGATATATATATATATATATATTAGTCAGAGTTGAACAGGTTGCGATTAGAGTAACAGGTTTCACTTTGAATGCTACTTCCTGTACCATTCGCTGCAACGTTAACGGTACTTTGTATCGGGTTTCGTATTTATCCCACTAGCTAATTTCATATTCGATCTACTGCTGTATCAAAATGTTTCTTTTAGATTCAAATCCATTTTCCATTTCCTTTTATTTATCTCGATATCGTCTCGCACGCGTAGAATCTAAAATTTAGAAATTCTCAGTATACTTTTCACATTTTCACTATTTTTTTATATAAAAAAAAACTCTCAAAACTTTCTCTTTCTTTCTAATGTTACCTAAAAAAAAAATCATTGATAAAAGGCGATTATTCTCCCAGCACGTTGGAATTTCAAACGAGGCGAAGCGAACGGAGAATTTGGAGAGGCTGCGGTCTGGCGCGATTTGCACGAAAAGTTATTATCGTGCACTCGTCCTATCGGCGTGTACAGCGTGAGATTTACACTTGGGGCTGTTATTCAACGATGGAGGATCCCCGAAGGGAAAGGACCCTGATTCACCGAACCCCTCTCGAGCTTCCTCGAGGGTGGTTCGCCCCTCCCGAAACAAAACATATTGTCCGAATTTAATTGTGGATAGGGTGCATTAGATATTCATACGTTACATGTTCCAACGACGCGTACAACAATATCTGTCGCGACCCTGGTCCGTGCACAGGGAGTCAGCACGTGCTCGAGGGGAAATAAATCTTGCTCGTGATAAACAGTCGGAGAATCGTCATCTTGATGACGATTCTTCGTTTTTCTTTTTTTTTTTCAGATTATCGATTTGCAACTTTCGGAGAAGGTAACAAATTTTTTTGCAAATAGTTTTTATTGTTCTCGATGAAATTGAATTTTCGACACTTTCGTTTTTGAAATTTTTTTTTTGAAAAGAAAGAATATGGTAATTAAGATATTGTAGAGAGATGTTTACGCAAAATTTGAATAACATGCAGATATAATAAATTTATATTCTCAAATATATAAGTAAATACACTCTTTATGTCACTGTTAAGTAATAAATGTTGCTCTATGTATGCGTAACTTTTTTCTTTTTTTTTTTTTTTTTTT